TATATATTCTATGTAGAGTAACGGAGATAGTGGTATACAACTTAAAATCATAAAATTATATAGATACTTAGATACTTAGATACTTAGATTATGAAGCCGGCGTCATATATATGAATGCATGGTGAACAGTCACGAATGGGTGATAGCATGATTCTATGCTAACTGACTTTCAAAACAGACAAGCGTTTTAAACGCCTTAAACATGGTGTTACATGGTGCCTACATCATACGTTAGAGCAACTTCACTACTCACATCAATAAAGAGCACTATTCCAACGTGACAGCTAGGTTACCAGGCTCCTGGACGTCACTAACGTCAGCTACCACAGTCTCAGCTGTTAACGTAGACATCTTGCGAGGGTCATACTGTTCCTCAACTCTATGATGAAATTCTACTAAAGAGTGGCGTTGCTTTCTGTCAACGTGGGTCGATGCGGGTTTTTGTCTTTTGTCGCAGAAATACAGCAGGACGAGAATAGCAGAACTCAGCAGACTGGACGAACCAGCGCAAAGGAACGATACGACGTAACTCCTTGTGTAATCACGAAGTGCACCTAATTCAACAGAAATCGATCAATCGATCTATTAATCGTTCAATCAATCCATCCATCCATCAATCAGTTAGTCGGTCAGGTGATCAGGTCGCTGTATTGCCAGCTTTATAACACCAAGAAACCATAGTTGCCGAGCGATTTGCCCCTAGAAGTGATTAACACATACATGTGCAAATCCTTCGTCATAATCCTTACGCGTTCAAAACAACTACAATCACGTAGAATTATCTAATGACTAGATGGAAAAGACACGCTAAAATATCAAATTCGGTAAGATTATTAGTAGTAATGTCGTAATTGAATTTTCAAGACTGTACCTGCAATGGGAGCTCCAATTACATTTCCAATTCCCTCGGCAAACATAAGGTAACCATAGCTGTTGTTGAACTTTTTAATTCCGAAGAGATCTATGATAACGTTTGCCAACGCTCCCAGCTGCAGACCGAAAAAGAACCCAAACAGTGTTCCATACAGAGCGAAGACGCCGAATGTTCCGCCAGTACTAAACAGCATGCTCGATATTGCGTGGCCGGCCACGGATACGGTGTAAACCCAATGGTTAGCGTAGCGTATGTGGCGAATTAGAGCGGTGAAACCAGCTAACAGGCGCCCGATCGTGTTGGATATACCGATGATCGTAAGTAGAAAGTAGGCTTTATCTTGCGCTATCCCACTCTCTATGAGATAATCACTGACTGTGACAAAAACCGTCACTGTGCCGATGTTCCAGAGGATCATACTGACGGCGAAGATGAGCAATTTGACGTCACGCAGCAACGTGACGTCACAGGCAGGTATCTTAGCGGCTGGTGCGGTAGACAACGGTCGCAGGAGGACACCACAGAGCACGAGATTCAGGGCTATGCCACCGTTTATTAGCATAGAGCCTCGCAAGCCATAAGCCTCCGTCAGATTGCTAAAGATGAAAGAGAAGGCAATCACGCCCAATCCACCGCCGCTGCACGCGACGGCTGTAGACAGATAGCGCCATCTATTGAAATACGTTCCCGCCATAATGACGCATGGCGTGTAGGCTATTCCAAAACCGATACCTGTAAAATAAACAAATTATAATAGTGGTGAGTGACGGCGTAATGCATTTATAGATTTTACACTCATTAGAATAATGCTTAGCACAGCACGGGGATTTCATATCAGCACTTATTCGAACGACAGTACGATCAGCATGTACGAACAATTCCAATGCGGGCGGGCATTGACATACGCAATAACATATCGCATGAAAGCAAATCGTTATGCAGAAGTCTCCGCTTGGTCGGGACAGGTCGGAAACCATTGAAATGTCCAGATTAAGCGGTGGTCCCAATAAAGCGGTGAACACTTAATTACGTGCACAAGGATTGCATTGCTTTTCAAGGGCACATATTGTTAAGCAATGCGCCCTTTAGCCGAGGCCGAATTCAGAAGAAACAACCATACCTGCTACCAATCCAAACGAGATGATGATGTGATAGGTGCTTTGGGCGAAGTAACCGCTAATGAGACCGCCCGATGCCAACACGCCTCCAATGATCACCGTCCGTCGAGCGCCAAGCTTATTCAGCAATGCGCTAGCTATGGGACCTGTGTGTGAAATAATTTAACAGTTGCACATGCGCAATGCGGCGTGAAGAAGATTGCAGCTTGCAATAGAACAGAAATATCGTGTTTAAACGTGATTTCCTATAATATAATAGACAAAAAAGCTCAGCATAATATAACGTCTATACATGTTAGAAGACATGCAATAGGAATAATAATGAATTAGTACAATGAAACATACAGTTTCAATAAAACGCAGGAGATCAAGTATGAACTATTCTCGTGGTGTGTTTTTCGGAAAATGAAGGTTAGACCACATACTTATTGCACATTACATTATTACACATTACCACATATTTTCACAACATGAACTATAGCTGACATCCTTACAATAGCAGGCGGTCCCGCGTATCGCAGGAATAGAAAGCTCCGTTAATATATATATACTAGCAGGATACCCGGCGTTGCCCGGGGAAATCAGTGGCGTTACTCAGCTGATGAGAGCTTGGTTGAAAAGAAAATACCGCCAAAAAATTGAACTATCTATCTATCCATGCATCCATCCATGCATCCATTCATCCATCCATCCCATTCCATGCCATCCCATCCCATCCCATCGCACCGCATCCCATCACACATCCCATCCCATCCCATCTCATCACATTCAGTGCCATCCCATGCCATGCCATGCCATGCCATGCCATGCCATGCCATGCCATGCCATCCCATCCCATGCCATGCCATGCAATCCCATCCCATCCCATTCCATCGCACCGCATCCCATCCCATCTCATCCCATCCCATGCCATCCCATGCCATCCCATGCCATCCCATGCCATCCCATCCCATGCCATCCCATCCCATGCCATCCCATGTCATCGCATGCCATCCCATGCCATCCCATCCCATCCCATCCCATCCCGTCCTATCACATGCCATCGCATGCCATCGCATGCCATCCCATCCCATTCTATCCCATTCCAAACAGTAAAAGATAATAAGAAATCAAAAGATAAAAAATCTGGACTCACTAACGTCAGCTACGCACAGTTCGTTTCTGTTAACGTAGACATCTTAGCGAGGGTCATACTGTCCTCAACTCTATGATGAAATTCTACTAAAGGTGGCGTTCATTCTGTCAAGCGTGGGTCGATGCGGGTTTTTGTTTTTGTCGGCAGAATACAGCAGACGAGAATAGCAGAACTCAGCAGACTGGACGAGCCAGCGCAAAGGAACGATATACCGACTACTCGCCTTAGTGTAATCACGAAAGGTGCAGCTAATTCAACAGAAATCGATGCAAGATCAGATCTATCTAATCGTTCAATCAATCCATCCATGCCATCAATCAGTCAGTTACGACGTAATATATGTATATGATTAGTATTTCTGTGTGTGCGTGCGTTCGTGCGAGTATCTGTCGCTATAGCTCTCTCAGTCTCTCTGTCTATCTATCTATCTTTCGCTCGCTCTCCCACTCTCTCTCTCCCTCTGTATCGCTCTAGCTCACGCTCTCTCCCTCGATCTCTCGCCCTCTCTCCCTCGATCTCTCGCCCTCTCTCTCTCTCTCTCTCTCTCTCTCTCTCTCTCATTTGCATTCGCCTTCTCTCTCTCTCTCTCTCTCTTTTTCTCTCTCTTTCATTTGCTCTCTCCCTCGATCTCTCTCTTTCTCTCTCTCTCTTTCTGTGTCATGCTAGGTTTACACTGGCGACTTTTTGTCGTAGAATCGAGAAATTGGCGCGATTTTCAGCGATTTTTCAATTTCCCAGCTAAAAATCGCTAGTGTGAACAGAAAAGTTGATGTTGAGAAATTGAAAAATCGAGAAATTGATGTGTGGTTGTTGTGAGAGATTTTCGCCGACACTTAGTCATGAAATCGTAGAAGCGCTGCGCGCTGATTGGACAGTTCATACGTGTAAAAATAGTTTCGCGTCATCTCTGTCGCGGCAATTCATGGCCGTCGGGCTCGGGACCCAGGTATCATCTCCTAGTTCCAGTTTGTGTGGTAAATCCGGTAAATTTGCCATATATACCAGTATAATAATAGATCTACAATTAAACACTCATGATGATAGTTGGTCTTTCACTCCCAATAATAATTCGTTAAATATTATAAGTGTAGAAAACGTGCGCGCATTGTCGTCTCTGCATAGTTACTTTCACCAAGTACTGCGCTTATCAAAATTCTATAATTCATTTAATGAAGTCTTTAGATTCGACTTATGAAAAACTGTCCGCCAGTTTACAGCGTCACGGAATCGAAACGCTCATGCCAGTCGCCTGAACTACGATCGGTTTGTTTATCTTGAAATTCCAGTGTTAGGCTATGATGTTTACTGGTCATGATCATTTTAATGAATCTTCGATCACATAATTAGCGCGGATATCTTAAATATATATTCATACATGTAAGCATTATTTTGTGTTCGCCTAGAATCATACGTTTCTATTCAGAACCCAACGGATAATAAAGCGTAAATAAGATAGAACCACATCAAATGGTAAACACAGTTGTTGCGCTGATTTTTTGCTATCGCTTTGCATCCAATTCATCCATAGATAAAAGCCATCGTTCACAGATAATAGAAAAATTCACGTCCTAATATCGTCAGAAGACACATGATGTGTACGATAAATATATCGTAAAGATGAGGGGAAATCAATAGAACAATCAATGTAACAATCAGGGTCACTGCCCACCATCGCGTCAATTTTATTTTCAACATCTCAAGCTTATATAGTTTATGTTCGTGAACCTATTTAAGAAATAGACAACTCCTTAATATATATATATATATATATATATATATATTCTATGTAGAGTAACGGCGATAGTAGTATAAAACTAAAAATCATAAAATCATAAAATCCTACAGATACTTGGATACTTAGTTACTTAGATTATGAAGCCGGCGTCTTATATATGAATGCATGGTGAACAGTCACGAATGGGCGATAGCATGATGCTATGCTAACTCACTTTCGAAACAGACAAACGTTTTAAACGCCTTAAACATGGTGTGCATATACATCATACGTTAGAGCAACTTCACTACTCACATCATCAAAGAGCATAATTCGAACGTGACAGATAGGTCCCCAGGCTCCTGGGTGTCACTAAGATATACTCCTGGATGTAACGTCGGCTACCTCAGTCTCAGCTGTTAGCGTAGACATCGTACGAGGATGATACTGTTGCACGAAAGGTCGTTGTCGTATAATGGCGTATAATATGTACCCGTCGTAACTATTTGATATGGTTAGGGGTAGGGTTAGGGTGTTAGGGTTAGGGTTTGGGTTAGTGAGTGGGCGTAGGCGACATACTGGCCGACACCTTGGGTACTACATATACGACAACGACCCCTTCAGCGATACTGTTCCTCAGATCTATGATGAAATTCTACCAGAGAGCGACGTTGCTTTCTGTCACCGTCGGTCGGTGCGGGTTTTTGTCTTTTGGCGAGGATATACAGCAGGACGATAATAGCAGAACTCAGGAGACTGGACGAACCACCGCACAGAATCAATCTATCTATTAATCGTTCAATCAATCTATCCATCCATCAATCAGTCAGTCGGTCAGGTGGTCAGTTCGCCAGTCAGTACTTCGGTCGGTCGATCAGTTGATTAGTTGTTGTATCGATTAATTAATGACGAGAAAGAATTATTTCTTATATTAAATATATAAGTCGTGCATAACTGCAATACTGCATTGCCAGCTGTATAACACCAAGAAACCATCTATTAATCGTTCAATCAATTCATCCATCCATCAATCAGTCAGTCGGTCAGGTGCATGGTCAGTTCGCCAGTCAGTACTTCGGTCGGTCGATCAGTTGATTAGTTGTTAGTATCGATTAATTCATAAAGAGAAGGAATCATTTCCTATAATAAATATATAAGTCGTGCATAACAGCAATATACTGCATTGCCAGCTGTATAACACCAAGAAACCATAATTGCCGAGCGATTTGAACCTAGAAATGATTAACACATATACACGTGCAAATCCTTCGTCAGACTCTTTACGCGCTAAAAACAACTGTACAATCACGTAAAATTATCTAATGACCAGAAAAAAACACGCTGAAATATCAAATTCGGTAAGATTATTAGTAGTAATGTCGTAATTGGATTTTTAAGACTGTACCCCGCAATATGGGAGCTCCAATTACATTTCCAATTCCGTAAGCAAACATAATGTAACCATAGCTGTTGTTGAACTTTTTAATTCCGAAGAGATCTACGATAACGTTTGCCAACGCTCCCGGCTACAGACCGAAAAAGAACACAAACAGTGTTCCATACAGGGCGAAGACGCCGAATGTTCCGCCAGTACTAAACAGCATGCTTGATATTGCATGGGCGGCATTAGCGTAGCGTATGTAGCGAATTGGAGCGGTGAAACCAGCTAACCGGCGCCTGATCGAGTTGGCTATCCCGATGCTCGTAGGTAGAGCGTCAACAAAAAAGCGACAGCGACGAGCGCGCCGTGAACGACGACAACAACTGTACAACAGCAAATGTGATGTTGACGACAAAAACAGCTACAGTGACGACGACGACAACGATGACGACGACGACAACGATGACGACATTGCACGGCGACGACAACCATGATAGCGTCGACACCAGCAGAAAAAAAAACAGGCAAAAAAAAACAGCGAAAGCGAGGACGACGGAAGCACAGGCACTTGGAACGTCTCAATAAAAATAAATAATGTAAACACGAAATGTATTTACTACCAAAGTCTTAATGTTTCTCTACTCTATTTCGCCTATTACTGCCGATAATTACCCGTAAATGCCGGTCAAATGCCCATCTGCAACACACAAGTACACCCACGCCCCCCCCCCTGCGCACAACCCCCCTGTGCACACCCACCCTGTGCACAAACAACATGAATAACATGCTCTCTTATTCATGTTGTCAGGAGTCTATCAATATTGATACACTCCTGATGTTGTTTGTGCAGTTGAGTATTTGACCGGCATTTACGGGTAATTATCGGCAATAATATGCGAAATAGAGTAGAAAAACA